CAGCTCATGTGATCCCTTCCTCCCTGTCTACAGCCGCTTGGGCAGGACTTGGTCGGAGACACAAGCTGAGCAATCGGGGTCCTGGGTATTGTGAACTGGGGGGAATGCATTAAGTTAGGTCTGAGGCGACCCTAGAGAGAGGACGAACAGATCAAGGTAGACTGTGCAGTCCCCAGAGCCTGGCGGAAATCTTGCCTTTGGATTTCTCCAGGATTCCCAATAAACGGTTCGAATATCTTTAATTGGACCACAATTTCCTTCAACCCAATAGTTCTCGATTACACCACGACACCAGTGAATGCTTGTTCCTACTCCCGTTCTCTCGTTTCGCTAGCATCCTTCCCAGAGCCTCGAGCACCCAGTGGGGCCAAATAACAAAATGAGTTAGAACTGCCTCCCATTTACTGAGACCCATGAGATACTTCTTAAAATTGCAGATCCCTGGGCTTGCCTGACTCCAGGAATTCTGGGTCAGTAGGTCGGTTTGGGGCCCAGAAAGCTGCTTTTTGTGTTGGAAACAAGAGATTTTAGGACCACAAATTAAGAAATGCTCATGAAATCTTCAAAGAAACTTACCAGGCGTCTGAGATGCCCTCGGATGATCCCTGACTCCTGGTGTTCACGTACTAGTGTAGTCCCCTCCCACACTGCACGCAGGCCTGTGTGGCCTTGAGGGCACTGTGGAGGCCACAGTGGGCTTCCACTGTAGGTCACAGAGCACACTGCAGCCTCCGCCTTGCTCACTCTTCACTGCCATGTTTGAGGACACCCAAGCAGCCCTGTGGAGGGGCCCACTTGCAGGGGAGCAGAGATGCCCACCAACAGCCAGCCAGGGAGTGTGCCATCTTGGAGGCAAATCCTCCAGCCCTAGGCCTGGCCTCAGTCCCAGCTGACGGCTTAACCTCAAGAGCCAGAAACATCCAGCAAAGCCACTCCCAAATTCCTGACCCAGCGAGATCCGAAGAGATGGTGTTTTAAGGCACTGAGTTTCGGCAGTTATTTGTTATCAGCAATAGATGCCAAGTACAGGTAGATACTATTATGATCAGATCCATTTTACAGATAAGGAAACTGAGTCTCATTGAAGGAGTCAAACCCAGGCGGGCTGAGTTCAAAGCCAGTGCTTTTAATAACTATACCCTTGGAGGCTGAAGGTCGCACAAAGCATTAGAGATCAATTGTTTAATCTCACTCGTTGTGGCAGATGGGGAAACCCACCAGAGTGAGCAGTCACCTTAGCTAAAGACCCTTGGTACTCACTGCTCTTTGGTTTAGGCGGGGGGTGATGGGGCGTCTCTGGCCTCCTGGGTGCCTGCACAGGCAGCCCAGTTTCTGGAGTAACACACATCCTGTTCCTTGGCTAGGGAGCCTTTAGAATGACCTCTAGCTAGTTGCCCCAGTGGTTGTGAGCCAATGAGTTTTGCTTTTTCATTCACTCGAGTGATGGGGGCAGAGCTGCTGACACAATTAAAGTTGCTTAACTAGGAGGAAAAGGAGGACAGGGATGTGTGGAAGGTTCTAAGGAAAGTAACCTCACAGAAGGATCTGATCACAAATTCCTAACTAGGCAGGTCATGGTGGGTAGTCATGCCCTAGGCTTGGCATGTAACTTGTAAAGGCTTATCTTTGCTTCAAGCAAGCCCTGTCCATTGTTTCTGCACACCTAGGTTAACACGTCTTTGAAATAGCAGACATATTAACTCTCAAGAGGGCATATAATCTAAACTATCCTGTAATCCAATCCTTTCCTTTCTCCCACCTCCATGTACATTTCTTCCTTAATTTCAAATGCATAAAACCTGCAAAACTTTTATTCTCCGAAGCATGTGAGATCTTGTTCCCTGGCTTATATCGTCAGTGTGGCTCAAACTCATAAAAGTTCTCCACAGGTTTGCCCTGGGGGGTGGCTCAGTTGGTTGGAGTGTTGTCCCAATTTGCCAAAGTTGCGGGTTCAGTCTCTGGTCTAGGCACATAGAGAAAGCAACTGGTGAGAGTATGAGTGGGTGGAACAACAAATCAATCTCTCTCTCTCTCTCTCTCTCTCTCTCTCTCTCTCTCTCTCTCTGTCTCTGTCTCTCTTCCCTTTTCTCTTTCTTTTGGAAATCAATAAAAATTTTAAGAAAAATTCTCTGCAAATTTGGATGTTTCTTACGTCGACAAATAAGAAGCCAGGACCACAGAGGCCTGAAGGTCAAGGCCTACGGGGGGAGTGGGCCCTGCCGCCCTCCTCTGGCACACTGTTTCCCTAGGCAGATGAAACCTCCTGCCTCTTAAAAGTACAAATCTGACCACAGCAACTTCCTGCCTCAAATCTTCACGCCTCCTCAGTGCCCTCAGGAAAAAGGGATCTGGCCCTTGACCTCCTTCCCTTTCCCCCCAACTCAACTTGCATCCTCCTTCACACTTCTTTCCCCTGTTCTGTGCCTGTCCCGCATGTTGCCCGCTATTCCTTCTGCCCTCCTTTCCCTTCTCCTCTAACTCCTACTGTCTTTCAGGTGTCAGGTGAGATATCCCCTCCTCCAGGACGCCTTCCTGGACCCCATTACTCACGTTCTCATGGTCCCCAGTGTTTCTGAGCACATTGTAGGTGCTCCTGAAATACGTATCACCTAATGGATAGTTGCCAAATTGTCCCTAAATCAGCTCTCTGCTCTTTTCTGTCCCGGTGTAAACCTGCCTCCACCTGCAAGGCCTTTCCTATATTCTCATTCCTCTCCAGTCTCTCCACTCCCTGCTCACCCATGGTCCCTAGGTCAGAATTCCACATTTCGGTGTTTCTGCTATATTTCCCACATCAGATGGGCTGCAGCTGCAGACACAATGTCAACACCAAAGCCGATGGCCTAGGACAGTGATGGCGAACCTATGACACGCGTGTCAGAGGTGACACGTGAACTCATTTTTTGGTTGATTTTTCTTTGTTAAATGGCATTTAAATATATAAAATAAATATCAAAAATATAAGTCTTTGTTTTACTATGGTGGCAAATATCAAAAAATTTCTATATGTGACACGGCACCAGAGTTAAGTTAGGGTTTTTCAAAATGCTGACACACCGAGCTCAAAAGGTTCGCCATCACTGGCCTAGGAGCACCTACTTCCACAGGTCCTTAGGTGGATGTGTGTTCAGATATACCCCCCCTCCTGCCCCGCCTACACCATGGGGCCACATCCTGGGCATTTCTAACTTCTAACCTTCTCCAGAGCTATGAACCAAGGGTCCAAAGGGCCAGCCCCTGGCTTTACTTCTTTTGAACTGTTTCAACCACCTTATAAGAAAGGTGCCTTTACTATCATTTCCCCACTTCACAGCTGGGAAAACTGAGGCACAGAGCAGTTTTGGCATTTGCCCAAGGTCATGTGGCTCCAAAAGACGGAGCTAGGGTTGAAACCAGGTGGTCTGGCTTTACGCCCTGAACTCTTGACTCTCATACTTCTCCCCTCCAGCTCTGACTAAAGGCTGGGCCTGCCTGTACTGTCACCCTTAATAGCTAGCTTGGGACTTCCAGGGCCAATGGGGCCTCGCCTCTAACTGTAGCTACCCTCCCCAGCTTGATGGGGTACTCAGACCTCCCAAGGGCTGTCCTGCTGGGTTTGGAACAATGAGTTATCCCCGTGGTCGGCAAACTGCGGCTCGTGAGCCACATGTGGCTCTTTGGCCCCTTGAGTGTGGCTCTTCCTAAGCCTTAGGAGTACCCTAATTAAGTTAATAACAATGTACCTACCTATATAGTTTAAGTTTAAAAAATTTGGCTCTCAAAAGAAATTTCAATCCTTGTACTGTTGATATTTGGCTCCGCTGACATTTAATGAGTTTGCCGACCACTGAGTTATCCTAACCAAAGGGGAGGTAATTAATCATTTAATTCCCACTGCAAGGATGTGCGGAAGAACTGGGGCAATCGGAAGGTTTCCAGACAGAGGAAAGCTGTGTCTTGGGATGCCATGAGGCCTTGGCTCATGGATGAGTAATGTTTCACGCTACTGTGGGGACTCCCTGACATTACTGGTTAGGAAAAAACAAACCTTCTGCAGCTTGATGCATAGAGACTCATCCTCATGGGATGAAAGGACCCAATCCCCACTCCTGATAACACGGAGCCCTTACATTCCACACACTGTTCTATGTGTCTTACATGCATGATTATTCCTTATGACTGTCTGAGCTGGCTGTTGCAACACTCCCATTTTGTAGTTGGGGAAACCGAGATCCTAATTATACAGCTGGGAAAGGGGCGATGCTGGTCTCAGGAGGCCGGGGGCACCTGCCACTCACACATTCCACTGAGGTGGGCACAGCCTATAGAATGGTTGGTTTTAGGGCCATGGCCGGTGGCCACTGATTTGGGGGCAGGGCATGATCTTGGCTCCTTGGTCCTAGGCCAGGGATGGTGAACCTTTTGAGCTCGGTGTGTCCACATTTTGAAAAACCCTAACTTAACTCTGGTGCCGTGTCACATATAGAATTTTTTTGATATTTGCAACCATAGTAAAACAAAGATTTATATTTTTGATATTTATTTTATATATTTAAATGCCATTTAACAAAGAAAAATCAACCAAAAAATGAGTTCGCGTGTCATAGGTTCGCCATCACTGTCCTAGGCCCTCGAGCTAACCTGCTTCCACCCTGCTGAGTGGAAAAATGGATTCCAATTCTTTTATCTTCCTTTGCTTGAGCCCATTGCACAACTGCCCAACGAGATACCCACGGGACCCGGACAGGTAGCACAGGTGAGGCCTGAGGCAAATCATGGACATGTGTCCTGTCGAAAGGGAGTAGCCACTCAGCTGGCTGTTGTCACATTGGAAGGTTGGCCCGGTGTGGCCTGATCTTAATGGTTTTCCAGGGAGGCCGGTAAAATCTCGATTTTTATATGACATTCCCCCATATTTTAATGGTGGTAAACTAATTAAAACGTTTTTAAAAACACCATTTTGTAAAACACCGCTGAGCGCCAGATCTGACCCCCAACTTGCACCCCCAACTCCAGAACAAAGCAAACAGGACACCCACACCTTATTATACAATTCTGTATTGAGCGACGCATTTACAGAACGTGTCCCTTTTTTTAAAATTTTAAACAAAGTTCATCAATTTCTCATAGAAACTGTTTTGTGGGTTTTTGTTTTGTTTTCACTGTGATAGGACATGACCCTGACAAAGCTGTTCACGGGTCCACTAGCTTTAAGTACAACAGGATTTCCGTGTTCAAAAGACTATACTAAGTGCTTAATCAAATCCCGTCACACAAAAGCCAGATTTCATTTTCTAAGGATTGTAGTCTGTGTATAGGCCTGAATTTCAATGGTGTGTGGGTTTCAACAGTAAAAAGTGGTGTGTTCCCCCATGGTGTCTTACTTGTGACAGGGCAGTGGTGACTAAAAGGAGCTGTTTTATTTGTTCCAGATTTGATGACTCTGAAAATTGGTCACTGTTTCCTATTGTCAAAATATAAAAATACCTTCATCTGGATAAAAATGTATACAGTGGAAAACTCTTCAATGCATAGCCTGGGTGTACGGAAAAGACTTTCCTGAAGGGTTTGCGCGGTTCTTCATTGACTGGCGTGGAGACTGTAGCCTGGGCTGGGTGCATGAGAGTTGAGATATCTGGAACTGCCCTCAGTTGTCCCTTTCTGGTCATCAGGTTTCACTGGCCTGGTTTCAAAATGCTCTCAGCATCCTTGAAACCCCCGTCAGCCATCTCTCTCCCTGGCAATGGATAGGCACCGATTATGGCCACCTTTTCTTCATCATTCTGCATTTAGGTAGGGAGGTACCCAACTCAGCCTTCCCACAGAGTTCGAAAAAGATAAGAAATAAAATCAGGAGAGAGATTCAACAACCAATATTGTGGCTGTCCCATCCAGATTGGGGTCTCTCCCTCTAGAAACCATCAAGATGCTGGAGGAACGGCTTCTGAATTGGAGGGTTGAGTCTTTGCTCCCCAAAAGGTCATGTGGTGGAAGGCAGGAGGGTGGATGTGGAAACTGGGCTACGGAGGTCATGCTGCAGCAAACTCAACCTTCTCGCTTGTTCTGCATCGACCTGGAGTTGCAGACACCGCCCAGAAGTAGCACTGGGGTCCACTTGAGAGAAGGCGAGAAGGGGACCTGGGTCCCTGTGTGATGAATCTACTTTTTGGTGCCGAGAGCTCAGCTGGGTGCTTGTGGGGTGACCAACGCTGTTGTTTCCTTAAAACACAAAAGGGGAAGATGGCGGCCACCGTCTTGCTCTGGAAAAGTAGGGGGGAGACTTCCTGACTGTGGCCATGACTCAGGTTGGGGAATGGGGTCACCCTGGCTCAAGTGCCACCCTCCAATCACCTGCCTCCATAGGATCCGGAAACACATCCTGTCTACAACGGACGAGCTGGACAACCTCTGCGGCCCAGAGGTTTCTGACTAGAGGGAGTGCAGGCAGTTCATTTTGTACCACGTTACATCTCAGATAGGACAGTCGGCCACAGCCCACATCTCGACAACATTTACAACGGCACAACATTCTGTGTTATCAAGGTTGCAAAACAGACCACCAGAATGAAACACATCCTCAACAGCATTGAGGTTTTCGTTTAGAGTCTTTTGGACTTTCTCTTTCCAGCACGGTTTCTGGAAGGGCAGGAGCAGTGCGCTGTGTCTCATAGACAGACATGGGAAAAAACCGTGGTTCAAAGGTTATCTAAATTTTGGTCAGTCTTAATAGTGTTTTGTGATGGCTTTGAACAATTGTCTTCTTTTAATCTCATCTAGTGGCAAAAATGACACAACTTCAGTGTACACTTCGCAACAGTTGTGACAGCATCCTGATTTTATAACTCTCTATAATATCAAAACAGCATCGGCTGGGAATAAATTCCAAAGGATCCTTTATTAAAATATCTAAAAGAGGTCTATAAATATTTATTTATTTTTCTAAAAGAGTTTGGAGTTTCCAGGTGAAAATGTGGCGCCACTTTGCTTTGCCTCCTGCAGAGAGGCCAGAGTAGAGAAGAGGGTGCTCCCTGGGGCGGGCGTGCCAAAAAGAGGAGGCAGTGGCATCTGCCCCACCTGCTCGCTCACAGCTTATAGAACTAGGATTACAACAAAAAAACGTTAAGTGGCATAACACTGCTGTCCACATTTTGGTGGTTGAGTTCCTCCCTCCTGTACCCTGCCCTGTCTGGGAGAGAGAGTGAAGAGTGAGGATGGCCCCTTGCCCTTGCTTTCAGAACTCCCACTCCAAAGCCTCCTCCCGATTGGCAGCCCTCTCTAGCCGGTAGATGATGCTGTTCAGGTTGGCCATCTTCTCATGCCGCCGCTGCAAGTTGGGGTTCACCTTGGCACTGGGGTGCAAGGCCCCAGCCGTGTCGGCAGTGGGGCTGGCACTCGGCACTTTGGCAGGGGGGGCGCCGGGTGGGGATGGCGAGATGGGAGCTGAGGAGGAGGGTACAGGTGACACAGACATCATGAGGCCTGGTGAGGAGGCAGCCGAGGGTGAGTTCAGTGACATCTCCAGGCTGCAGCGCGAGGACTCTGAGGCCGACTTAAAACTTAGAGGGTCCAGGTGTAGCTGCTCTCCTGCCCTGCTCTCCTGGGGGGGCTGTAGTAAGGGGCAGTCTGGGGTAGGCCCGCTTGGAAGAAGAGGTCCTGGGGCCACTTTTGGGAGCCCATCACTACCGAAAGGGTCTGGATGCATCTCTTTGGGAGAACCGTGGCCTTTGTCCTGCTCCCCGGAGTCCTGGAGCTGGCTGCCCGCCTCTTCCTCAGCATTGTCCTCAGTCTGCTCCTGCTTGATCCTCACTGGGGCCCTGTCCTGGGCAGTCAGGGGAGTGATGCTCGCCTCAGGGCCCTCCTGGAGCTCAAGTTCCTTCACCGTAGGCTTCTGGTCCTCAGCCTCAGAGTCGGGGCTCTGTGGGGTGGGGTCTGAGTGGGAGTGGCCTGGTGGTAGGATGCCAGTACCCGCACTGGGGTCGAGATCTGGTTCATCTTGGGTCCCCTCCACCAACATCTCCCGGCGCATCCGGGACCTGGGGCAGAGATGACGGTGAGCGAGGAGATGGAGGGGGAACCGGCTAACCCTGAACTCACTCCACATGAAGGGTATTTTGACTCCACCCACTTCCCTGGGGGTTCAGTAGGAACTAAGATCCTTCACATGCAGCATCTTAGCAAGTCCTCCCCACAACCGTGCAAGCGTGCAAGGTGGGTGCTGTTACTATCCCTGCTTCAGAGAGGACAAAACAAGGCCCAGGGATGTTGAGTGACTTGCCCAGTAAGTGGCAGGGCCAATACTTATATATGATTCCAAAGACCATGATCTAGACCCGCACTATCCAGTATAGCAGCCACTGTGGCTCTTGAGCACTTGAAATGTAGCTAGTGAGAATTGGTATGTGATGGAAAGGCAAGCTTTTGTAAGCTTAATACCAAAAAAATGAAAAGTAAAAGAGCTCATTAATAAAGTTTTTATATTGATTAAAATGTTAAAATGGTTTATTTATTGGATTAAGTAAAATATACTACTACAATTAATTTTATGTTTTATTATTTGTAAATGTGGCTACTTGAAAATTTTAAATGACATATGTGGCTTGCATTATATTTCTATTGGATAGAGCTGTTCTAGAGCATTTCTCAAAGTCAAACCCAGATCTAGTTTGTAGCAACAACTCCCTGCCCCATTCCTGAAGGGACTCTTCGACATCAGCCCAGAAGGGGAAACTGAGTCAGAGAGAGTGACCTGTCCAGATCACCACAGAACAGAGGCAGAGCTGGCAGTGGAGTCTGCGTACCCAGAATTCTAGTCCAGAACCCATTTTCTCTTCAATAGCCTCCCCGCTTTGTGAGAGAAACTTAGTCTCATACATCATGTTTCAGAGCACTGGAAGAACCAGGCATGGGTCTAAGCCCATTAATTATTTTCTTAATGGCAAATGAGGTCCGGGGAGGTCAAATGACTCATCTAAGGTAATCAAACAATAGGACTTCCTCAGCTTCTTCAATGCTGTAGCCTTCTGTCCATTTATATTAATAATTAAGTACATTATTGATATGTAATGTAACAGTTGTAATTATTATAAACATAATAATAATGGCTGCTTATATGTACCGGGCACCAGGCCAACTCTTTTTGCAGATTGTCTCATTTATTTTTCATAATAACCTTGTGAGGGGGCCATTATCATTATCATTCCCTTCAATAAACGAGATGAGGCTCAGACAGGCACAAGGATAGCCACGATCAGAGTCAGAAAGTAGAACAGTTGGGCTTTGAACCTAAAAGTCTCACTACACTCTCCTGCCTCCCTGGCTCCCTGCCCAGGTGGGGGACGGTGCCCCACTCCAGGATCCTGGGCTTAAGAGGGACTGTGAGGGATCATCTGGTTCACTTCCTGTCTCAGTCCCCAGTCCCTGCACAAAGGTGGCCTTGTCCACTTTACAGTGACTCTGCCATCTCCCTCAGTCCCTGCTAAAGGGAAAAGCTGCAGGGACCAGGGGCAGCCATCATAGTTTCCAGTGAGGTAGGATTTGAGGAAGGTTTAGGATGGCTCAAAGTCTGCAGCTCCATCATGAGAACTTCCAAACTGCAGATCAAATATAAATATGAAGCTAAGAGTCATTTATACTATAGTATAAATTAGTCTTTGCAAGCCCCAACTCCCAAATGTATAACTGGGGCCATCCTGGTAATTTTTTATCAGAACATCCTGTTGTTTGCCTTTCTCAGAGCTCACTGCAGTTTGTCATGATACATTAATATAAGTGCTTGTTTAATAGTGACCTTTCCTGGTGGTCTGCAGGAGATGCTAAGAGTAAGAACTTTGTCTTGTTCTCTTCAGTGCCTGGTACAGAGTAGGTGCTCGGTAAACATTTATCAAATGAAATAATGTATTCTTCTATACCTACAACTTTTTGAGAATGGTTATTTTGGGGAGTGCAATTCTCTTTGCTCTTTGGTGCAAATTCCTATTAATCCTTTCTTCTTCTTTTTTAAATATATTTTATTGATTTTTTATAGAGAGGAAGGGAGAGAGATATAGAGTTAGAAACATCGATCAGCTGCCTCCTGCACATCTCCTACTGGGGATGTGCCTGTAACTCAGGTATATGCCCTTGACCGGAATCGAACCTAGGACCTTTCAGTCCGCAGGCCGACGCTCTATCCACTGAGCCAAACCGGTTTCGGCTATTAATCCTTTCAAACCCAGCTCAAATGCCACCTCTTCTGTAAAGTCTTCACCAGGAGGCAGAATTCCTTTCCCCTCAGACCCTATTCCTTCCTGTTTCACAGCATTTATTAGGTTGTAGAAATTATCTGATTCATGATTTTGAAATGTTGCTTTGATCACATTTCTCCAGACCTTGGCTTACTGTATACACTTGGCAGATATTTGTTGAATGAATATTTTGGATAATAATGGAGTGCTCCGTTCCCGTGGGGAATAAAAGGGGCGAGGATATCCCTATATCCCCCAGAGAGAGAAGGAGCATGTGCAGTTTTAAGAACCTATTTCGTTTGATGTTTGGCAGGGTGTGGGTCTGAGCCAGACAATAAGCAGTATTTCACAATGTTTACACCTCAAGTGGTTCATTTGATCCCTGATTCAGCATTATCTGTAAAACAGGGATGAGACTCAGAGAAGTCCAGTGACTTGCCCAAGAACACACAGCCAAGTGGGCCTTGAACTCAGGTCTGTGTGATGCCCATGCCTGGGCTGTGGAGAGAGATTTCAAGTGTTCCTCCCTTCCAGCCTCCTCCTTCCTCTTCTCCCTTGGGGATCAAGAGACCTTCTTTCTGCCCCTAGAACATGCAGATGGACTCTCCTCTCTGGTACCACATGGACACCAGAGACATTTCCTTCTCAGGAAGCTTGGCAGGGGCGCCTCAGACATGGTCCCTTAGACTTGTACCAGATCCCTTAGGCTACAAGGAAGCACAACATGGTCCCTTAGAACCCATTAAGCCCTCTCCACAGGGCTCTCAACCAGCCTTATGAAGCCCCTCTGCCGTCTCCTCGAACCTGCCAGATCTGGTCAACACCCCGACAAAATCGCAGGAGGCCCAGCCCACTGCAGGTCAGTGACTCCAACACGGGGGCCTTGTGAGTGGGAGGAGGCAGCCATTGGAAAGCCAGAGGATGCCAGAAGGCTTTCCTCTGGTCTCGGGAGTGGGAGAGGCCAAGACCACTAGTCAGGGTCCAACGTGAGGCTCAGTGGGAAGTTAGGTTCCTCAGGCCTGTGCCCCATTCCCTATCCCTCACACAGGCAGACACAGAGTAAGTGGGGAGGTCGTAATGAAGACAGTGACAATAGTAACATCAACATCCACTACATCCTATGTGCCAGGTATTTTATGTAAATATGTTAGCCCATTGAATCCTCAGGACAACTCTGTGAAGTAGATCCCATCATGGTCCCCATTTTACATGTTAGAAGACTGAGGTTCAGGGAGATGAAATGACTTGCCCAGGGTCTCACAGCTAGAAATGGTGAAGCTGGGATTTACATCCAGGTTTATCTACAAATCTAAACACCCTTGCAATACAGACTCCTCATCTCCCAGAGGCCATCCATGCTGGGCTCCCTCCAGGCCCTGGGATGGGGAAGAGGGTCCTGCAGAGACCCTGCCTATCCCCCGAGGGGGTCCTCCCTAGTCATCCCACCTGTAGTTGTGGAACCAGTTGATGACGGTGTTGGTCTTGAGGTTGAGCTGAAAGGAGAGGAGCTCGATGGTCTGCTGGGAGGGGTAGGGCTCCAGTTGGTAGGCCTTCCTCAGGGCCTCCTTCTCCTCGGGCGCCAGCACCACTCGGGGCTTCTTGATTTGCAGGAGGCTCAGGTCCTGGGGCTGCAGGCAGGGGCTGGGGCACTCGGAGTGGGTGGTTGGAGACTCACTGTCTGAACCGGTGCTGATGAGGCCGTACCTGCGCTTCAGGTAAGCTGGGTGGGCAGGGGAGAGAGGGAGGGCTGAGAGGGGCCTGACCCAAGGCTCATCAATACCCCCACCCCCATCCTCCAGGGGCAGCAGGGGCTGGGAACGCAGTAAATGCATCTCAACCTCAAATCCTCAAAATGTGTGTGTGTGTGGGGAGCCCACGTGAGAATGGAGGGTGTAAGGTATTAGGGTCTCATTAAATCCTCACAGCAGTGCCCTGAGGTAGATGCTACCAACTTAACTTCAGAAGCAGAATGAGGCACAGAGAGGGGAAGTAACTTGGTACAAAGGTCACACAGCCAGCAAGTGGCAGGCCAAGTTCTCAGCTGCAAAGCTATTTGTGCCAACAGCTGAGGCGTGGCCCTGGCCCACGTGTCCCTCACGGCCTGGCTTGACCCTGGACTCTCTCCTCACGAGCTGTCTTGGGTGCCTTGGGTGACAACTTTTTAGCTCCTGGTACCTCATCTCCCAACTGGGCCCTGAGCTTTTTAATTTAAGTTCCAGGGATCCCTTATATACATCATGAGAGAGTGTGGATACACAGCAAGTGCTCAGTGACTTTTCATTTTCTCAGGGATAAAACAAAATATTGGACAATATAAGCATCTGCAATCTCCTTGCCCCACCCACTTCCCATCTCCACCCCAAAAAATTTTTTTTTATTTTAGAGAAGAAAGGAGAGGGAGAGAGAGATAGAAACATCAATGATGACAGAGAATCATGGATCGGCCGCCTCCTGCATGCCCCACAATGGGGATTGAGCCCGCAACCCGTGCATGTGCCCTAACCAGGAATTGAACCCTGACCTCCTGGTTGATTGGTCGGTGCTCAACCACTGAGCCATGCCGGCCGGACCACCACAGAAGTCTTGTTGGCTGGGTCAATTCTTGTGTTGTTTTGCAGTAATCGGCACAGGGGGATCTATCTACATATTATACATTAGGAGCTGGTGCAGAGGACAGAGAGGGGGTGTTTTGGGGAATATGCAGAGGGGTTCCCCAAAGACTTTGAAGTAGCTACAGGTGTGTGAAAGGAAACTGAGAGAGACAGGGACTGAAATTCTCATGGGAGAAGTATTAAATTATTTTCATTGCTTTCAATGACACTGTGGGATTCCTATTTCTTGCAGTCCCGCACCAGGCTGAGGCTGGACCACTGAGGCCCTGGGTTAGTTGGGTTACAACCAGATATGGTTCCAGGGGGAAAACCTGAGGTCATACCCAGAGGACCAAGTGCTCACCTTTCTTCTCCAGCTTCTTCATGTCCCTCAGCTTCTCCACGTTGTGGGGGTCATTGAGCCACAGCTGCATTCGCACAAAGGGCTCCCGCCCCTTCAGGCTGAGCTTGTGCCAGGGTTTGGGCCGGGACAGCAGGTCGGACACGGAGCCCTGCGTCAGGCCCAGGATGCTCTCCCCGAATAGCCGCTGCCCTGGGGACAGGGGCAGGGACAACTGTCACCCTGGCAGAGGTGCTCTCAGGAGAGATAAGAAATGGGAGAGGCAGAGGGGAGAACCCAGATGTCTCCACTAACTCAGACACGGCAGGAACCTACACCCAGTGTGGATCTAGAGGGGACCTTTCAGCAAAATAGAAGACGGAGTTGGGGGGACGGGAGGCACGGCGCGAACCAGACAGCTACCAACAAAACTGCTTTCATACTTTAGATTTTCTTCACTCCTAGGAGATGCCTGAAGTTGTCTGCACACTTCATATGTATAATTAATATTACCTTGTTAGAGTAATCTGACAGATTCTAGCAAAACTTCCATGTGCACATCCTCTGACCGAACACTACCACTGGATCTACCCTCCAGCTGTACTTGCCCAAGGGCACAAAGATGCATCTGGACTAGTTTCAGAGGCAACAGGAAATTGGAAACAACCAAAATGTCCATCCGGTGGGTAAAAATGTAGGCCATCCATGGCCTAAAACACTTTACAAGAGTGCAAAAAAAAAAAAAATGCAGGTGGCCTAATTATTCTAACATGGAAGGATGTCCACGATGTGAATTTTTAAAAAGCAAGCTGGTCCTGGCTGGTTTGCTCAGTGGTTAGAGTGTCAGCCTGTGGACTAAAGGGTCTTGGGTTTGACTCCTGGCCAATGGCATGTACCTCTGTTGCAGGTTTGATCCCTGGCCCCAATTGGGGTGTGAGAAGGAAGCAACCAATCAATATGTCTTTCTCACGATGTTTGTTTCTCTCCCCCCGCCCCCCCTTCCATTCTCTCTAAAAAAATCAATGGGAAAAAACATGTCCTCAGGTGAGGACTAAAAAAATAAAAAAATTCTTTAAAAAGTAAGCTGTAGGGCAGTATGTGTATGTTGTATAATTGCATCTATATAGAAAAGAGAAAAGAAGAAACCAGTGACATATATTCTTGTGTGTGTTCAGCAAAGTATCAAAGATACATAAAAACTGGATTCTGATTGGGAGGCTTGGGAGTTGTTATTTACTTTCAACTTCTCTTAATTCTCTAAGAACCCAGGTCAGAGTTAGATGCCTTCTAGAGGGTCTTGGGTGCTCTAGGACTGCTGGGTGGGCTGGACCCCAGTGCCCTGTGATCTCACTCAAGAAGAGTGGGAGCTAACCGGGTGGGAGGCAGCATCCCCCAGTCCCACCACCCCTTACCTAGGTTATTGTCTGTGAGAACCTCCTTGACCCTCTTGGTGATGGAGTAGGTGTCCAGCTCAGGGGACATGGCCACAATCTCCTGGATGCCCCCTGTGGCCTGGCTGCCCGAGCACATCTTCCCACTCAGTGAGGAGCTGGAGCGTCCCTCTGGCTGCTGGTTCTCCTTGCTGCTCTCCAATACCAGGCTCAAGGGCTCCTGGGAGCTCTTCTCGGGCTCCGTGGGGCTAGGGGGTGGAGACGGTGAGGACCTGGGTTCGGCGGGACTGGCTGTGGGCCAGAGAGGCGGAGAAGGTGGTTACTGCAGAGTCACACAGTTTAGACAGTCTTACTTGTTAGAGCCAAGAGTTGGCAACAATCCATTTTGCAACCACCACAGGAATATCTCAGGCAGGGACAGTCCTGGATGGGAAAACTAGCAGATGAAAGTTTACATAGTCGCAAAGTATCTCCCCACAAAATACTTATTAGTTACAAAGAGATACCTGGCAGATACCATCTCAACCAAGTGATCAAAGGAAACACCACCAATCATGGGTCAAATCAACAACGGGCGCCTCCTGACATGATGCGAAGCGAGGACACAGCATTGCTTCGGTGATATTCTTGTTGGAAGTGTGCGGCCTGAATCTGATCACAAGAAGCTTCAGACAAAGCCGAATGGAGACAGTCTCTAGAATAACTGGCTTCGCTATAATTTCTTGCTCGTGCTAGATGTCTCCCTTACCAGGTAACAACAATGATGAGGACAATAATCAACAAAACCTCCTTTTACTGAGCCCTTACCACACGCCCAGTGTAGTGCTACGTGTTTTACGCCCATGATCTCAAGTCACCAAAAACATGCCTGGGAGACAGGTGAGGAAACGAAGGCTCAGAGAGATTAAAAAAATATGTGCCCCACTTCACACAGTGACTAGCAGCAACATCAGGACTAGAGCTCAGGTTTCCTCTCACCCACCGATTAGGATTTTCTGGAAGACAGGAGGTGGTGGTTCGTCTTGTGAATAAATTTTGGCTGGGACCCCTGATTACCCTGAAGGTGCAGAGAGAAGCCTTAAAGTTCTGAGTAGTGCACCACAACCCCATGTGGCAGGCAGCCCCTGTCTGGGGTCTTGAGGACTCTATGGTCCCACCTGCCCCCAAATTGGCTGATCCTGGACATCTAGGCGACATCTGGGTGATGCTGGAACTGACATGGACATGTCCTCTGATGACTGTCACCAGCAGGAACACAAAGTTGGTGGAGAAGGGCCAGCCTGGGAAAACAAGAGGCTGTTTCAAGTATCCACCCATTGCTGTTTCAAGTATCCACCCATTGCTGGCAGGCTGGGCTCAGCTGGAGTCTCCCCTTTACCCCTTCTTTCCATTCTTAGGCTCCATGACTTTAGGCAACAATCTGAGCCTCAGTTTCCTTACCGAGGCAAAGTCCAATCTCCACCTGCCTATGTCTCATGACAGCTGCTCAAGGCCCTGTGCTAAGGATTCTGAGGCTGCATGCTGGATCCTTGGGAAAAAAAGACATCAAACGGCGATTCTGATGGGATCAGAGGGTGGGGCTCCACATGTAAACTATTTTCTACACTTGCTTGGGCACCACCTGGAGGTTTAAAACCAGCGATAGATGCATCCCTCTGATTGAAGGAAGCAAGGGGAGCAGGGACACCAGCAGGGACACATTGCAGTCTTCCAGGGCAGCAATAATGGTGGCCAGGGCGGTGGGGCCAGAGAAAGAGGCAGTAAAGCAGGTGCACGTGCCACAACAGAATGGAAGAGTGAGGGCTCTCCGCAGTTTTGGGGGCTGGTATCACCCCTCAAAAGAGCCCCATGGGCACTCACCTTGTGAGGCGCTGGGCTGCTGGCCAATGGCCTGCCCAAGCTGGTCCGAGAGCCATAGCTGCATGCGGATGAAGGGCTCCCGCCCCTTCTGTGTCAGCTTGCTCCATGGCTTCGGCCGGGACAGCATGTCGCTCACACTGCCCTGTGACAGACCCAGCACCTGGGGACCGGTGGTGCAGAAAGGGTGGGTCAGCAGGCCCCTGGAACACAGGCCATCGCCTCCCCTCTCCCCTAAGACTCTTAGGGATCACTGGTCACTCGGTTGCCTGAGAGGCCAGGGCTGTTTTCATTTGTTCTTCATTTCCCAGGTGTGTGCCTGTGTTGTACCCTCACCTGCAGTGCCCTTCCCGATTTCCCTACATGTAAAAATCTACCTAGCTGTTAAGACCCCCGTAAGTGCCCCCTCCTCCAGGAAGCCTTCCTGTGTCTCCCACTTAGGTTACTCACTTCTCCCTCCTCAGCTTGTTTGTTTGCCTGCTCCTCTGCTATGGGCAGAGGTGATGTTAAAAAACGACTTAACCACTGGTACTGTGGGGGCACCAACCAATCAGGAGGCCCCTTTAGTGGCTGGACCAATGGAGGGATGGAAGGTCCTGCAGGAGGGGAGCTAAATAGTTATTCCTAGCCAGGTGGAGGTGTTTTATTGCTTTAACAACCACAGAACTGAATGCCAGCCTTTCCCACAACCCTTTTCCACAGAACCCAGGGACAGCTAGATACAGAAGAACTAAAGGCCCGGTGCATGAAATTTTGGCACTGGGCGGGGGGGTGGTCCCTCAGCCCAGCCTGCAGTCTCTCACAGCCCAGCCTCTCGCAGTTGGACATCCTTAGCGCTGCGCAGAGGTAAGAGAGGCTCTCACCTCCACCGCTACGTTCACCAGCCATGAACCTGGATTCTGGCTGAGCGGCGCTCCTCCTGTGGGAGTGCACTGACCACCAGGGGGCAGCTCCTGCATTGAGTGTCTGACCCCTGGAGGTCAGTGCGTATCATAGTGACCGGCTGTTCCGCTGTTTGGTCAATTTGCATATTGGCCTCTTATTATATAGGTTGAGCTTTTGGGGTCACAAGAACCTGGGTTCAAATCATGCTTTTGTCCTGTTCTTGCTTCTTTTCAGACCATGGGCACTTGGGGCTGTGTCATCAGGTCGTTCTCTTTCCCTGGGTCCCATGGCCCTGAGCCTCCTGCCCTACCTGCTCCCCTGCCCCTGTCTTCACCTTCTCCCCAAAGATCCTCTGGCAGATTCCGTTCTTGGCTAGCTTCTCCTTGACCTGGCGCGTCAGTTCCAGTGTGTCCACCTCACGGTACATGTAGAGCTCGTACTGCTCTGGGGTCAGGGGCGGCACGGTGGGCTTCAGTGTGCGGGGCACGTATGTTGGGTAGTAGGCTAGCCGCCCGCTGTTGCCTGACTCAGAAATGCCCCCCTCGGCCTTGAGCTCGCCCAACTTTGGGGGTTCGTCCTCACCCCCAGCCGCTTCATCCTCAGGGATTGTGGGAGCCTCATCCCCACGGGGCCAGGCCCGTCCATTGGGTTGGCCAGAGTAGCTGGAGGAGGAGGAGGAGAGTGAGGGTGAGACAGAGGTGTAGGGGTGGCTGAGCAGGCCGCGGTCTGAGGCCCAGTGCTGATCAAAGTAGCCAGCATCACCGATCTCTGACTTGACCTTCCGGATGATGCTCTGCACAAAGGCAGCGGGAGACAGGACAGTGAGGGATGTCTGTGTGGCACTGCTGCTGGTCCCCCCGCTGCCACTGCTACCACTGCTGTCCTCCTGCTTGACGTAGGTTGGAGCCCCATTCTGGCTCACAGCTGCCAGTGAGGGCCGCTCTGGGGGTGAAGGAGGTACTGAGCGGCCCCGGGGTCCTGCCTCCATCTCCAGTAGGGCCTGCTGCTGTGCTTGCATCTCCCGGCGTGCCTGTTCCAGAATGTTCTTGATGGCATCTTCTGAGGTGCTGGCAGAGGCTGTGCCATTAGTGATGGTCAATGGGGCTGTCAAGTTCTTGGGCTCACCTGTGGGTGGATGACAGGGTGGCCAGAGGCCAGTCGTCAGGACATGGCACAAAGGGCAACAAAGATGGTCACAGCATTGGTATTTATGCCAGCAAAATGTTGGAGGTAATTTCTGTGTCCACCATTTGGGGACTGATGAAGTAAATTATGGTCCAACTGTTTGGTAGACTATTGGGCAGCCATTAAAAATCAGGTAGACAGTGAGATTTTAGCATATATGAAGAAAGTATTTATGTGGATAATGTGATATAAAAAAAGACTTGTCTTTTACATATGCTATGATCCATCTACACAAATGTTCAAAGACAAGAAAAATACTATAGCACATAAAAGAAGCTGCTTCATTTGTTCTAACTGGAAAATAATGGCATGAACCCAAATACTCATGGAGGAGAGGATGGATAATAGTGGCATGGCCATACAACAGAATACTATACAGCAATGAAAAAGGAAGTCACTGTGCAAAACCACACATGAATCTTAACATAATTTTGAGCAAAAACAGCAAGTCCCAGAAGGTGATACACATTATAATTCACTTTCTATAAAGCTCCAAAACAAGCAAAATAAATAATATATTATTTGGTAAAAAATCTTTTTAATAAGTAGTAAACAAAAGGAACAATAGAACAGTGCTTCCCTCAGCCCTTTAAGTGGTTTTTCCTGCTCTGGGTCTCCCCACCCCTAGACCAAGCCAGATCAACACTGCCCCTTCTCTATTATCTTGTTGTCCAGTCTCCACCCCAGTGGATCCCACAGTCCCATTAAAAATAATTTATGTTGCTTTTTTGATTAAAAGGTAATACAGCAATGGAATATTATTCAGCCATAAAAAGGAATGAAGCAGAGATACTTGCTACAACATGGATGAACCTCAAAAACATGCTGAGTTAAAAGCTGCCAGACACAAAAGGCCACACATCGTATACTTTCCATTCATACATAGGTAGAGCCATAGAGACTTCCCTGTTCCCCAACTGCTAGATACTTAGGTGTTTCTAGTTTGTCATTGTTGTGACAATGATAAAAGAAAAGCTTGTATATAAATCTTTATGCCTAATCTGGGTGGGGCATTGTAGGTTCCTCGCAGGGTAAACCTCCTTCCACTCCCTCTCAGGGACCAGGCCAAGGAGAGGACCCTTGGGAAACTCATGGCTCCCAGCAGCAAGCAGAAGCTTGGAAATCAGGCCACTTACTCTGAGTCACCACCAGAGGGCAGAAGACACTGAAAGAGAGTGGGAGTGCTGAAACCTGTTCTAAGTCAGCAACTGTCTTATAACCGCGTGCTTGCTGCACGGAAGCATCTGTGTTCCTAGCTGCAAGAAGCCCCAGACCAGTGGGAGGGACAACCACATTAGCAGAGTCATTTGTAACATAAGCAAATACAACAATAGAGACATAATGACAATATTAACGGTAACAATGGCTAACCTTTCAGAGGCACCTTCTACATGCCAAGTCCTAGGTTGAGTGCTTGCCAGGATTGATCTAATTTGATCCTCACACAACCTTAAGGAGTATTAACACTACCCTCATTTTAAAAGTGAGAAAATGCAGGCACAGAGAGGCTAAGTAAACTTGCCCAGGGTCACACAGCTAATAAACAGCAGGGGCAGAATTTGCAGCAAGACAAATCTGGCTCCATTGCACCAAGCATATATATATATAATTTGGGGGATCCAAGGAGGAGCAGTATACAAGCATCTGTGCAGTGGTGGGAGGCTTCCTGGACGAGTTGACTTCTGAGTAAAGTCATAAAGTATGAGAAGTTGGCCAGTGAAAGGTGTCTGGGATGAGAACTAGGGGGATGAGAATGAGCGTTATTATAAATAAGTCATGTGAGAGGTGTGGAGGGATCGGGAGGAGTCTGATGACTACAGGCCTTGTTGAGTAGTTGGGATTTTATCCTGAGGGCAATGGGGAGCCATGGAAGGATTTTGAGTAGTAACATCATGACCACGTGTGCTCTAGAAAGATCCCTCTGCTATCTGGGTGGAGTGGGGCCTAGAATGTCATTGGCAAGACCAGTGAAGTGACTACAGCAGCAGTCCCAGAAAGCGATGACAGTGGCTCACTAGGCTGGGGGCAACTGGGGTGGGGGATGGACAAGCTTGAAGAAAACACTTAAGAGGGTGAGCTACACCGTGGATGGGGTGGCTGACTGGCTGCCAGGGGTGAGGAGAGTCCCTCACCTCACCCTGGGTTTCTACCACTGTGACAGGTTCCCAGCCCTGAGTGGGTGACTTTGAAGATGGAGTGAGGGGTAGGGGAAGACAGTGAGTTCTGTTTCAGACATGCTGAGTTTGAGATGCCAGTGGGGATCCTGGTGGACATGTCCAGCAGTTGGCTTGTAGCTCTGAAGCTCCTGAGAGGTGGCCCCCCAGCATATCCATGGCCCTTCTCTGGGGCTGGTGAATATGTAAAGGGGACTTTACAGATGTGATGAAAGTTAAGGATCATGCTACTGGGAGATTATCCTGAATTACCTGGGTGGGCCCTACATGATCCCAAGGATGCCTATGTGCTGGACTTAACCGTGGAGGAAGGGGCCATGAGGCAAGGAAGTTGCCAGCCTCAAGAAGCTTGAAAGGCGAGGGAACGGATTCTCCCCTAAAGCCTCTGGAAGGAACACATCCCTAGCTCAGGGAGGCTAATCTTCTGCCCCACCCACCCCACCCATGAGATAATAAATTTGTATTGTTTTCGGCCACTGAGTTTGTGGCTAACAGCAGCACTAGGAGATGAGTCTGGTGCCCCATGGGAAGGTGTGGATGGCATGGTCACAGAAGCAGGAGGAAGCCAGACAAGTGTCTCTATGGGATATAGAAGGTACAGGTGCAAGGGTGAGACTAACAGTTGGGGTGAGGCTCAGGCCTCAGTGTGTTTGACAGCTTAGAACTGTGTGATGAAGGAGACATTCCGAGTTGTGCTGTCCCATATGGCCGCCACTAGTCACCTATGCAATGGGGCCAGTGTGACTCAAGAAGTTGTAATTTTATTTAATTTTAATTTGAATGAATATAGATGTGTGTGCCTAGTGGCTCCATATTGGATAGCATGGATCCGGCACTTTCCAGGCCTAGACTTTGCCTGGCTGCAGACTGAAAGAGGCAAAGAGGCTCTGACCTGTTTGGAATCCCCTCTGGATGGATGGCAGGGATGAGGGGGCCAAGACTCTGCCTGCTGCTCAGAGCAGCCCCCGGAGGCTCAGGCCTTTGCCTGCCACACTCACCCCCTTTCTGTGACTCGATCTCCTTCTTGGCCTGCTCCAGGATGCTCTTGATGGCGTCGTCAGAGCCTGTCTCTGGTGTGCGTATTCTTGGGGTGATACTGCCTGGGAGAGGCAAGGAGGCATTTGTCATGGGGACCTGCATGTTGGGGGTCAGTCCCTGGAGCTGGGAAAGGTGAATGGCTGGGCCCCTCCCTCCAGGGCCAGGGCAAAGGCCAGGAGAGCACAGGCCAGACCATGAGTATGTGCAGTAGGACCACTGCTGAACTAGTCTACGTGACACACTGTGGACCTTCAAGTGACTTGAAACAATAGCAGCAAAACAACAATGATCAGCCACCACCATAGCTAAAAGTTCTCAGGCAGTTACTATGTGCTTTATACTCATTTCACCCCGTGGAGGCTAGTGGGTGGGAAGCTGAGGCACAGAACGCAAGTGAGCTGCCTGAGGCCACCCCATGGGCGAAGGGCAGAGCTGACTCAAACTCAGGTGTTTGTGAGGTCAGAGCTTGGGCCCTTCAGATGGAGTAGCCTAAAAATTAAGCCTGGCAAGGTTTAATAGTGATCACCCAGGCCATTTAATGGATGAGTAAACTGAGGCTTCAAGGTGCTTAGGGGGTAGCTGTCAGAACAGCCCCCGAGACCCAGCCTTTTCGCACCATTATTGAACTGTCTCATGAGGGCCAGTTGGGGAGAGGGCCAGTTGGGCACAGGCCTCAGGAAGGAGGGAGAGAGGGTGCATTTCCTTATTTTACAGAGGAGGAAAGTAAGGCACAGAAAGGGAAAGTCACTTGCTACAGGTCACACAGCTGGAGGCGGCTGAGCCTGGCTCTGAATCCAGAACCCGTGTTCTCAGACCCTGCGGCCAGCACTCACCTCGCTGCCGCACCTGGATGGTCCTCAGAGCCAGCACGTTCTGCTCGTCCGACAGGAACTGCTTCATCTTAATGAAAGGCTCCTTGCCCTTCACCGTGAGCTTGCGCCAGGGCTTGGGCCGGGCCAGGATCTCACTGACCGAGCCTTGTGACAGCCCCAGCACGTAGTGGCCGAACACCCGCTGCCCAATGTTGTGCTTGAGCAGCTGCTCCTTCACTTGGAACGCAATCTCCGCCGTGTCCAGCTGCTCCTCCTCTGCTCCGGCACCTGCCCCAGCCGTGCTGGCCCCGCCACCATCAGCCGGCTCCAGGCCCCCAGGTGGCTCAGGGCCAGGGGCTGGGGTAGCAGGGGCCGTGGGGGGCTTGGCGCTGTAGAAGGTGGGGGGAAACACCAGCAGGCTGCCTGCCTCTCCCTTGAAGGCGGCCGGGGGCATCATGTGCTTAGACAGCAGCACGTCCCCTGCCAGTCTCTCCCCTGAGGCCAGGCTGGGGAAAGGGGACAGTGAGAAAGTTCGAGGGCCATCAGGGCCCAGGCTAGGGCCCAGCAGGGGCTGCCCGGGGCCTGGGGACAGGGGGTCTTCCGGCCCTGGTGGTGGCGGTGGTGGGAGCTGTGAAGGAGATGGGTAGGGCTGCTCTGTGCCCAGAGAGTCCTTGATGGAGTCATCCTCCGAAGGGTCCTCCTCTAGAGAGAGACAGACAGAAGGAAAGAGGAGAGACAGACAAGAGAGTAAGACAGGGAGAGAAATAATGAGAGACATACACAGAGAAAGAGACACAAGAGAGAGAGAAAAAAGAGAGACAGAGAGAAATTACATGAGAGAAATCATGCATATGAAAGACAGACACAGAGGGAGACAGGCAGAGACAGAGTGAAAGACAGATGGACAGAGAGAAAGGAGACAAAGACATAGAGAAACATACATAGGGACAGAAATTCAGAGGCAGGGGAGAGAGGAAGTGGGGAGAAGAGGGGATGGGGTAGAAGAGGGAAGGAGAGAAGTGCTATAGGCATCCAGTGTTGACACTGCTCTTTCTGCCAGCAAACTCTCCCCCATTCTCAAATCCCCATCCTTCAAGGCCTGGTCCAACTGCCTGCTCTGGGGAGCCCTCCCTCCTGCCATGAAGAACATTAACTGAGCACTTGTTATAGGCCCAGCACCGCCCCTGCGGTGGGGAGTTTGGATTAATCCCATCCTGCAGGAGTACCCACTTCCCAGGCACCCGCCTCATCCATGAAGTAGGCCCCGTCACTGCCCCCATTTTTTAGGTTAGGAAATGGAGGCACAGAGTTTTGGCTGGGGCCGCATTGCTTAAAGGTCCTGGAGTCGCTGTGTAGGAGAAGGGGCAAGTGGCTGAGCAGGTGATTTGGGAGAGAGCAATGCCTGCTGTGGGGGTGCAATGTGAATGCCTGCCTTGTCCTGTGACCTCATCCTACTGCTCATGAAGGCTCGGGGCTGCGTGGAGCCTTTGGTGACCTTAGGAGGCTTGAGTGAGCTGTATGTGCTTGAGTATGTGTGTGAATGTGTGTGGACATCCTGTGGGACAGCTGCCAACTGGCTTAGACATGGACGGTGCCCAGCTCAGTGCCAGGCACACAGCAGGTGCTCAATCACCCTGCACCCCTTTTCTCCATCACTCTCCTGCCTCAGTGGAAGGCAGTGGTCTGTGGGCATGGAGAAGGCCAGGGACCCATCACAGCCCCAACCCTGTCCCTTAGCCCCGAGAACATCCCTTCTCCTACCAGGGCTGGCCAAGAGACCTGGCTTTTCCAGCAGAAACTTCTGAGCAGGGAAGAACGCCTCCTTGGCCATGAGCAGCGAGTCCTCGGGCTTGGCCAGGCTCTGAGGAGATAAGAGGCCGGGCTGGGAGGGCGTGGTTGGTGGAAGGCTCTCACGGGCAGCCTGTCCCATGGGAAGAGTGGCGGGGACACTCACCTGGGGGAGGCTGCAGGTGCTGGAGGCCAGCTTCATGGCTTTCAGGATGCTGCCGGAGAAAGTGGAGAGTGTGAAGCAGCCGTGCTTCCCTGGCTTGGGGAGAGGCCTTGGGAGAGGCACTTCCACTGGCTTATCTTCGCTGACTGAGAACAACTGCCCTTACCCCCCTGGACCCGCACAACGCTGGCCTCATGGTAACAAGGCTTTAAGTAGGGGGCTTGTGAACTGGTTCCAATGTTACCAGGAGGGGTGCTGTGCTAACCGACTCTCACACCGGCCCACTTGAGCTTATCTGATCAATGCATCATCCCGTCTCCCCCCAGGCACACCACCACCAACACAGCTGCCTTGCATGTTCTCTGACAGGCAGCTCTTAATGGCAAAGGACTGTGCACGACACCAAAAGTACCAGTGGAGAGGAGACAAGGGCATCACAAAGTGGAGTGTGGTGGGAGGGAGGAAGGTAACGGATTCTGCCAAGGGCCCTGGCCATCTGCTCAGGTGGCCCAGCCAGGGAAGAGGACTGGGGTCTATGGAGCCCCACTACACAGTACCTCAGCTCTGTTTTAATTTCTTCATAGTCAGACTGTGCCTGGAGCTTCTCTTCCAGCTTCTAGAGGAGCAAAGACAATGAGGCTGGGCTGTCCTTCTGTCTGGGACTGTCCCACCCATCTCCCATCTGCCCACCTGCTCCCCAAAGACCTACCTCGATGGCCTCGGACTTGGCTGTGAGCTGCCGTTCCAGGTCGGCAATCTGGTTGGCGGAGGCTTCCTCCAGCTCCTGCAGAGAGTTCTGGAGGTGCTGCACATCCTTCAGCAGCCGCAGGATCTCCCGATCCTTGGAGGCCAGGGCAGCCTCGAGCCGCGGGCCCGAGCACAGTGTGAAGTTCACCTTATCCTGAGGACAAAGGGGGTTTTTGAGGGGCTGCAGGGCTGGCGTCCCCACCCGAGTCCCAAACAAAATGGGAGATCCATCTGTGGTATGGTCTTAGTGCTGAGCCCCACAGAGTAGTCAGCCCATTTGACAGGCCTATGGCTTTTCTCTTTCCGTCTCCGAGCCTTGTCCAGGCTGGACCTACCAGCCTGGATGCCTTTCCCTCTATTCTTGAAACTAAACAGGTGGGAGGGGAAGTGAGCAGGAAAGGTTTTCTGGAGGAAGATGTGTCTAAACCGTGATGAAGTTCAAGAACACGTTAGAGATTTAGAAGATTGCTTGGCAGCATCCACTGAAAGGGAACATATGTGCTTCCACTAATTAGCATATATACAGGAGAAACTCAGGCCCCTCTGCACCAGACACGAACACCAGGACACATGTTCACAGCAGCCCTCTCGGTAATAGCCCCGAACTGGAAACCCTCCAAATGCCTACCAACAAGAGAATGTGGAGAGACTACGGACTATTCCACAATGGAATACTATACAGGAATGAAAAAGAATAATCTACAACTACTCCAACAACTCTCTCTGATATAATATGGAGTGAAGAAACCAGACACCAAGGTGTGTGTTATTCAATTAAGATCAGAAACAAACACAATTTCTGGGGTGCTGGGAATGTTCTTCTTGATCTAGATGCTGGTTATGGGGTGTGTTCATTCTGAAAAATTCAATGTGCTGTTCACTTATGATATGCACATTTTCCCTTATGTATATTACTAGAGACCTAGTGCACAAAATTTGTGCTCTGGAAGAGGAAGGAGTAGTTCCCTCAGCCTGTGCCCTCACGCAGTCCGGGACCCCTTGAGGAATGTCCGCCTGCCAGCAGTCAGACATCCCTCTTGCAGTCCGGGGCTCTCGCAGTCCGGGACCCCTTGCTCCTTACTGCCCACCTGCAGCGGAGGCAGGAGAGGCTCCCACCACTGCTGCTGCGCTTGCCAGCCATGAGCCCGGCTTCTGGCTGAGCGCACTGACCACCAGGGGGCAGCTCCTACGTTGAGCGTCTGCCCCCTGGTGGTCAATGCACATCATAGCGACCAGTTGTTCTGCCATTTGGTCGATTTGCATGTTAGGGTTTTATTATATAGGATACTTAAATAAAACATTTGCTAAAACCATGATTCAGCAAAAAACCAAAATCATGACTCAGTAGAGCCAATACCATGATTCAGCAAAAATAACAAGCATGGCTCAGCAAAAAGGAAAACCATGATCCAACAAATACCTGCTAGCATGACTCAGCAAAAATTCACTAGCATGACTCAGTAAAAAAATCCAGTACCATAACTCAGCAAAAATCTCCAGCACAACTCCACAAATACCGCCAGCATGGCTTGGCAACAATCCACCAGCATGACTGAGCAAAAAACTCCCAACATGTAAAAACAGCATGACTCAGCCAAACTAGCTATTATGACTCAGCAAAAGGTTAATAGGGTCAGGATCAGGGGTGAGAGCTAGGGCTAGGAACTGGGGTTAGAGTTAAGGATTAGGATTGGGGTTGGGGTCAGGGTTGGAGTGTCAGGGTTAGAATGTCAGGGTCAGGATCAGGACCAGGGTCAGGGTGAGGAAGTGTGGGGATAGGGTGTTCCCAGCAGAGGGAACAGCATAGACAAAGGTTTGGGTTTCTAAAATGGGTGCAGGATGTCTCCATTCTAGGCAGTAAGAGACCCATAGGGTTAGACATGAGACCTTGTAGCCACAGGTCACATTAGGGGTGGTTCCTTCCTTTTCCTAATTTGCCACCAGCCCCAAGTCCCACTGCTTCTCTAGGTTTTAGGAAATGGTCCCTTTGTCCTGGATGAAGACAAAGAGGTTGCTGTTTGAGGGAAACTGAAGTCAGGCTGATTTTGAGTTCAGTTACAAATGAATCTAAGAAGCTTTACAAAAACAAATCAACACAAAACAAAAACCCATCACTGCCAACCCTGGGTATTCTTCCATGGAGATAAGTGACAATTAAAACAGGAAGCGGATGCCATTAACACATTAAATTAATTAGCATCGAGTGCCACTGTTCTGCTCAGAAAAGCTCACCCCCAAACTAGCCAAGATCCCAGTGGCTGATTAGCACAGGCATTTGCTGGGTTCCACCGGGGTTAATTAAGAACCATCAGCAAATTATCTCTTAGACATCCTCATGAGCAGACATCCAGGCACAGTGAAACACACACACTGCCTCCTGGGACATAGACACCGGTGGACACACTGATAGCCACAACACACACTGACACACATAAAGAAATACACAGGTGTCAAGGAGACACACTCATGTGGACATCACCAGACACACACAGACATGTATATGCTCAAAAAGACCATTGTCCTTGTGGGCAAAAACCCAGACACACCAAAACCATATTAATAATAATAACAGTAGCATCAAATATTTACTGAGCAGAGATTGAGCCAAGTCCCATTTTAGGCATTTTACATGTAATCCTTTTAACAGTCCTACAATGTAGATCTTACTTGTACAGATGAAGAAACTGAGGCACAGTTAAGAGTAAAGATGCAGTCATTTTCCAAAGGTCACAAACAGATGCACATTCCAATATTCAAATAGAAACAGACACAGGCCAGTGCATCAGGGTGGCAGGTAAGGTTAAAATTATGCCGGTCACTTCAGGTTCATGGGTGGAGACAATAAATTACCCTGGGGTAGACCTGTTATTATGTAAGGAACCATGAATGTAATGCTTTGTCTGCAGAGATCTGGAAGTAGGCGGATCAATTTACATAAGGAACTCAAGGCTTTCTGAGAGAAGAGAGATGGAGACTTCTAAACTATGTCACAAGGATAGGTTGGGGTGGTTCTGACTAAAATCCTTTGGCAGGAAATGATCCTGGGACCCAAAGGGACACCAACCAGGGGGAAAGAGAAAGATGCACCGGCCAACCAGGCTTAATACAGAGACCTCACGCCCTAGCCGGTTTGTCTCAGTGGATACAGCGTCGGTCTGCAGAGTGAAGGGTCCTGGGTTCGATCCTGGTCAAGGGCATGTGCCTGGGTGCGGTCTCGATCCCTAGTGGGGGGCATGCAGGAGGCAGCTGATCAATGATTCTCTCTCATCACTGATGTTCCTATCTCTCTCCCTCTCCTTTCTTCTCTGAAATCAATAAAAATACAGTTAAAAAAATACAGAGACCTCAGGGTTAATGACAGAAGATTGGCTCTTCGTAGCATGTGGCATTAAAATTCATGTTTTGGGCGCGAATGGCTAAATATGTGCATTAACATCAGATCTTGGTATGTATTTTTGTCTGGGTCTGGAATGATACAGAGAACCAGCAGGGTGTAGTCCCAAGCCTTCACCAAGCAGTGTGAGACCAGTGGTCAACAGCGACACCTGGTGACATCCACCAAAACTGCACTGCTGCTCTACTGATCATACCTTCCCACCTCCTTGCCCTCTTGCCGGGCAGACATTTGGCAATAGGAACGACCCTCTTTGATCTGAGTAGGTTTCTGGAATTTTTGGACAATTGGGCATGAGGGGACTTTGAAAGGAAGATACTGAACTTCCAGTTAATCAGGATATATGGAAGCTTGAGCTTGAAAAGTTAAGAGCTGGGCTGTATTTTTACCCTTAACTGTTGAAGCAAGTGACCTTGGCAATTAAGCTGCTACTCCCACTGTAAGCATCAGAAACCCACACATCCATGTGCACAATTTCGCACAGATGCACACAAACAACCCACACATTCATACCCACAAACATGGCCTTTCCCAACCTTTCCCTCTGGCTCTCCCACCATCCTTACCCCACTGGGATTCTGGGGGGAGCAGCAGGCCAGGCGGATGGAGCTGTTGACAGAGGCAAGTTGTTCCCGAAGACTTTCCACCTCCCGCTGGGCAGCCTCAGCTCTCTGAGGAGGAGAATGGGACAAGTGTGGTTAAGAAGTGAATGGGGCCACAAGGGATGTCACCCTGGCCCTTCACCTTCTCCCTCCACCGTCTTAGGCATGGGCTGGGCAGGCAGGGTTGAGGGCTGAGGGTCCTACTTTTTGGGTCTTGAACCCTTGACTTGGCTTTTGATTCCCCCAGGGTTCTTGAGGTTCCAAGAGGAGTCAGAACATTCCCAATCCACAAGGGCAGGAGGGAGATGCCGTCTTGATGGGATGGGCAACTTTTTACACACTTGAGGCCACTCTGTATCCCAAGTAAACTTCAGGCCTGTCTGGTCAGAAGGCAAGTTTGTCCCCAGCTCCCTGACCACCTGGTGTGGAATCCTGGATGGGGCATCTGCTGAGGAGGCTTCCCAGCCCACAAGCTATTGAAGGCCCCTGGGCAAGGCACTTCCCCTCCCTGGGTCTCAGCTTTCCTTTTGTGAAATGGGGAAAATGAAACACATCTACTGCAGAGACATACTGAAATACTTCTAAATCAGAAAGAGGTGGTTTACTGAATTGGGTCTGCAAACATTTCTGAGAAAAAAAGCCTGGGAGGAAGCATCTAAATGTTAACAACACAGCCTTGTGGCTTTGGAGAGAAATCTGTACGTTGTCACTTCCTGGGTGTGTGTGACCTTGGGTAAGAGATTTCATCTCCCAGCTTCAGTTTCCCTATCTACAAAATGGGGATTTTAACAGCAACTACCTTCTAGAGTTGTTTTTTATTAAGTGATTTGGAAAAACATAACTCATTAGGCATTTTAGCTTGGTGCCTGACACATGTAAGTGTGTCAATAACTGGTTAATTTTATTAACATCAACAGGGTATGTGGAATCTTGAGCCATTACTTGAAACATTAGAACAGCTGCAACTTTTTTTTTACCCTCAGCTGGTGACACAGGGCATAGTGATTATGTTTAACTTACACACTGACCTTGACAATCACGATGCTATGCCCACTATGTACACACAGAGAACCACACACCTCCATTGGCACATTCTGTTTGATTATTTATTTATTTAAATATATTTTTATTGATTTCAGAGAGGAAGGAGAGGGAAAGATTGAAACATCAATGATGAGAGAGAATCATGGATCGGCAGCCTCCTGCATGCCCCCTATTGGGGATTGAGCCAGCAACCCGGGCATGTGCCCTTGACCAGAATCAAACCCAGGACCCTTCAGTCTGCAGGCCAATGCTCTATCCACTGAATCCAACCAGCTAGGGCACATTCTATTTTTTAATGGATTTGTTTATTTATTGTATCCTGCCTTATTCCAGAAAAGGTTCAAGTCAGTTACGTTTTGGGTGTGTGGGGTTGTAGAGAAAATATTCTTGTTACTGAAGCTTGGGATCTGGCCTAAAAGACAGGCCTTGGAAGACAATTTATGACAGATGAGCTGGTGAGAATGCCAGAGATATTTGCCTTGAGGGCCTGTGTTTACATTTCGAGGGGGATGAGCCCCAGACTGTGGAGACATCCCCTGGGCTATAAAGCTGGGTTTAACACTACCAGTCTTATCTGCCCCTGGAGAGAAGCATTTGCATTCCACATGCTAAACCCCAGACCCCTGCCCTTCTGTTCACCGTGACACTCAGGAGATAATTTATCTCCCTGCCTCAGAAGGCCCCTCTCTCAGAACTACCCAGATTCCTATTTTCGGGGGCTGGAGGGGCTAACGTTCAGTACAAACTCTGGTGCATTTAGGGTGCCAGCTGGTTTTCGCCTCATCACCCCAAGTAAGAATTCGGGCAAACTGGCATGGTTATTGCTATGTCAGTAACAGCATAGATCTGCTCTGCTCCAGAATCCGCTTGTTCACATTTAGTATATTAAAAACCTAATATGATGACACTTATTTTCTTCTCCATACTTTCTATAATGAGCAGGTTTTAGTTTATACTCAGAAAGAATAAACATGAAAAATGCTTTCTATTTAAACTAAGATCCCTTTTCTTTAGCCTAGTAACTAGTGGTCGGCAAACTCATTAGTCAACAGAGCCAAATATCAACAGTACAACGATTGAAATTTCTTTTGAGAGCCAAATTTTTTAAACTTAAACTATATAAAAAAACAAACAAACAAAAAAAACTATATAGGTAGGTACATTGTTATTAACTTAATTGGGGTACTCCTAAGGCTTAGGAAGAGCCACACTCAAGGGGCCAAAGAGCCGCATGTGGCTCGCGAGCCGCAGTTTGCCGACCACAGGCCTAGTTGAATGGCAAAGATCTTTGAGTCTGATAACAGGGGGTACTGGCAAGGCGGGGACACAGGCCCATTCCTACCTTGCTGGATGGAGTGTAAATTGGCCCAACCCCGTGGAGGGTAGTTTGGCCACATCTGCCAAATTATAAGTGTACCGATCCTTTCCCCAGCAATCCCACTTCTGGGAATTTACAGATAGAGTGCTGGAGGAGACCCCATGTGGGGGAGAGGGAGAGAAGCAGACCCAGGCTTGTGCCTCATCACCAACCCTGGCTCCTCACTCAGTCTTGGCTGGGAGAGACCCATGTCCCTACTTGGCCTGGAGATGGGCACTTGCGGGCTGGGATCACTGGCCAATGCTCTGCTTCCCTCCTACCCGTGCTGTGCAAAGACACCTAGAGAGGCCTCCTGCCTGCTGTGCAGGCTGCCTCCCAGCTTTTGCCCAGGCCGTTCCCTGTCCTGGAATGCCATCCTTTTACAGTTTGGACTGATTTATCTGGACTCAGCTCCATGGTCCTTCCTCCAAGATGTCTTCCCTGACTCCTGAATCTGGGTCAAATGCCTCTTCTCTGCTGCTGCCTGGACTGTCCTATTTTTGAGTATTCTGTCAGCACCCTCACTCTCCTTCCTTCAGGAGCTCAGGGCCTGGGTCCCAGACATCTCCCAGCCTCAGCACTCTGTATGGCACATAGTTCAATAAATACAGATTGAGCATAGCCCTTCCTCCCAGACTGGCCCGAGACCCCCACCACGTGCAAAATGAGTCCCCCAGCACAGGTTTCCTCACCTGATTAGCTTTCTCCAGGTTGGTCATGATCAGGCTGACTTCATCTGCCCTGAGACAGAAAGATGAGGCCCTGAGGAAGGGACTCTGGCCACCACCAGGCCCCCTACCCATCCTGATACCCCCAGCCCCTGCCTGAACCCAAGGATTTCAAAACTGAGGGCCAAGGAGGCTGACTTCCACCCTTCTTACTGGAGAAACTAGGCTGGACGGAAAAGAACCCAGGCTGCGGGGAAATGGAAATGGGCCTCAGGACTGCAGCCTGGCCTCTCACCTCCCCCAGGGTCCACTCTCTGAAGCTGTCGCAGAGCTGCACCTCCCAGCTTTTGCTCCTACTGTGCCTTCTGCCTGGAATGCCTTCCTCAAGAGAACCAGGTCCAAAGTGTCGTCCTAGGTACCCTCTCTACTCCCCCATGGTGGCCATTTATTTACTCTGCTGCCCTCCTCCCTTCAGCACCTAGGGGGTCCAAACAGGCCTCTTCCACCTTGGCTGCCCCTCTTCCTGCTGTGGGGTGGGGGCCAAAGGAGGCCTGTGGGGAGCATTTGGTGACTATAAGCCACGCATGTGCTCCATGCATGTTCAGGGCCCTCTCTGCACAAGCTTTTCCAATTGCTCAGAGCACACTCCCCAGCGTTCTTCACGTGGCCATCTCCTGCTCATATTCCAGGCCTCACACTGAAAGTCACCTCCTTAGGAAACCCACCGCTCCCTGTTATTCCCTCTTGCGGTTCCTGTTCTTCCCAGGACAGTATTGGGCATACAGGAAATGCTCAGGAGTGTCTGTGAACGAATGAATTTATCACTGCACATTAGTCAGTGTCTGCCAGGGCTATGTCTAACGTTTCCTCCAGGGTCTCAGCATAGTCTTGGGGAAATAGTAAGCACTAAATAAGTGTTTGTGAAATAAGCAATGTCTTTAATCCTGAAGAAACATTGAGTACAGAGTAATTTAAGTGAATGACACTTGGCCCTGAGGGTTGGACTGTGGAGTTGGGGAGTGGGACAGCCCCAGGAGGCTGGGGTAAGGCGCAGGTCCCTGCCCAGTAGACCCAGAATGCCATTTATAGTCTGTTGTGCATAAATGGCACAGCAATGACCATTGAATATGGCTGTGTGCCTCTGTGGGGCGGGGAGCAGAGGGTGTTTAATAAAATGGGTACCTCATATAGAATCAGAAAGAGAAGGCATGTCTGGGAGGGTCAGAGGGAGGAGGCATACCTCAGCAGGGTGTTCACTTACTTGGATGCCGCCTCCTCATCATATTTCCGCCGCAGCTCCAGCAGCTCTGTCTGCGTGGCCTTCAACGCTGGGAAAAAGTAAAGAGCCAGGGTGAGGCTGCCCACCCCCAGGGAGGTGGAACCCACTCCTGCAGGGCCTGGAAGGCAGAATGAGGTCTAGGCTAGTGAGGAAAGACCTTTCTTGTGGTTAGAACTGGTGACAGGTTCTATAGGGGCTTCAAGCTGGTGAGAGGCAAGTGGAGTGGCTGGGGTGGGGAGGGGGGCTGTCTGTTCCAAGGCCTGGGGTATGAGCCTTCTAGCACCATTAGGTCACCTGGGTAGGATGATCTACCCATAGCTCATCCACCCTGAGATCCAGACCTGGCAAGTAAGGGGGACAGTGAGGAGTAACAAAATCAACAGATATAAGTATATGATAATAAATGAGGGATTTCTCATAAAATTCCAGATTTCTGATTTTTTTTCTAGGAAAATTGAAGGGATTGGCCACACTATAAGGCAGTGCCTGGCTGGTGCTCTTTTTTTTTGGCTGGTGCTCTTTAGATAAAGCTGCTTTCTCCAGTTTACCCCAGATCCCACCCCACCCTACTGTCTTCTCTAACCTGACTGGCTTAGTTGTGTGCTAGGACACAGAAGGCCTTACATTTGCTACCCCTATTTTAATTTTAGCTCAAACCTTCTCTCCACAGTAGTATGGCCTCCAGGGACTGGGGGCTCAATCCCCCGCTGGGTAATGTAAATTTCTCTCCTTCCCCTTCCCAAACTCCCTTCTTACCCTCTTGATTCTGAAACACCTGGGCCTATGTTCATAGTGTCAGTGCCTCTCTTCCCCCTCCTGGTCTGATAGGGCCAGGGTGCTGTGTGAGGGCCAGGGCCATGTGCCACATACATACCTGAATGTAGGACCTTGATCTTTTCCTCTGCCTCCCCCAGTCTGGCTGCCAAAGTGATTTGTACTTCTTGAAGGCCCCTGTGGAGAGACCGGGCCTGCTCATGCCAGCTCTGCTCATTGAATGGGCCTTGCCTGAGCCCCACCCGTTTCCTATCCCCTTGCCCATTCCCTGTACTCTTCACCTCTGTCTTAAACACAACACATGTCCTTAAACTTGACATTTAGGCATTGAGCTGCCCCACTGTTTTGCTGGTATGTGGCCCCCATAATGGTTGGGCCAGTTAAGTTTCTGGCAGCATTTTGGGAGGGGGGCTTATGGCAGCCAGCAACTTCTCTCTGGGCCTCAATTTCCTGGTCTATAAAGTGGGGTTTCTGATGGGGTCTGCTTCAGTGGGTATTGTAAGCATGCTTAGTGTGTTCCTCAATACCGTCAGCTACTATTACTGCCCCAGAGGCATTTCTCCCCTCCTTTTGGCAGAAGCTTGGGATGTCCATCCAGCCCATTGGGGCCCAGTTCTGTTGTAATGCAAGTATCGCAGTAAAGAGAGGTCCTACCTGGACTAGTGAAGGGTTTAGGCAAAGCCTGGGCCTTACAGCATCAGATTCAGAGACTCTAGGGAAGGAGCCCCCTTTACCTCTGATCTCACATCCTGCTTCCTCCCCCTCCTTCACTCCACTCCAGCCACATTCATCTCCTTGCCGTTTCAGTACACCAGCCTCAGACCCTTTGCACTGGCTGTTCCCTCTGCTGTGACACCCTTCCCCTAGATACCTGCAGGGCTCACTCCCTTGCCTCCTCAGGACTTTGCTCACCTTCTCATTGAGGCCTCCACCAACATTCTATTTAAAACTTCAGCCCTCCATCTCATCCTCTTCCTCCCCTGCTTTATTTCTCCTCAAACCCTTATCATCATCTAACATATCGCTTATTTTACTTATCTTATTCATCTGTCTGTTCCTCACTAGGAAGTAAACTCTAGGAGGGCAGAGAGTTTTGTACCTTTGATTCACTACTGTGTCTCTAAAATAGTGACCAGTACACAGTCGGTGGCTCTATAAATAATACTGCTGCACCACTGCCAAGGTACCATTTACTGACACACACTCCTCTGTGTGAGTGCCACGCTAATGAGAATGCACAGGAGTCACCTTGTTTCATTCCCATGGCAGACTAGGAATTGATATCACATGTGATGGTTATGTTAAGTGTCCACATGGTTAAGCTATAGTATCCATTTATCCCATCACACACTCATTTAGGTGTTTCTGTCAAGTATTTTGTAGATGTGGTTAACATCTACAATTAGTTGACTTTAGTAAAGGAGAATATTCTCACTAATGTAGGTGGGCCTGATCTAACTAGTTGAAGGTCTTAAAAATAAAACCAAGGAAGAAGTTCTGCCTCAAGACTGTAACACTGACTACTGCCTGACGGTTTCTAGCCTGCTGGCCAGGTCTACCAACTCAGATTTGCCAGCCCCAATTGTGTGATTTAAGTCCTTGAAATACATCTCAATTTACTAAAAAAAAATACTACTGGTTCTGTTTCTTTGGAGAACTCTGGCTAATAAACCACCATTAGCTCCATTTTCCAGATGGGGAAACTGAAGCTCAGAGAGGTGAGGTGACCTGCCCAGGGTGGCCACTGAACTACTGAGATGGAGCTCAAACCCAGGCCTATGTCTTCACCTCCAACTTGCATCTGGACTCCCCAGCAGTCCTGGGCAGGGGTGACTTTCCTGGTCCCACCTCCCAGCCAGGTGGGGCAGCAGGAGCCCGCCTGTCCCTCCCCCACTCACTTTTGTTTCTCCACCTCATTTCTCTGCAGCAAAGTTTCTGTCAGGAGGGCTTTGCTGGGAATGCCGGGGAGGCGGCTCCCCTCGGTCAGCGTGGGCCCGGCTGGGGACAACCCCTCTCTCTGCTCTGGAGGAAGAAAAAGATGGAAAAATGCCCATTTCTGAGAGCAACGTGACAACCGGAGCCACTTTATGCAAATCAGATCGATCAAAAGTTGTGAGAAGAATCAATTTCCCAAACTTAGTGTTGGAGAGCGCAGCTGTTGGGCCCTGCTGTCACCGAGGTCAGCTGGGCTGCAGCCAGCAAGTGTGCGCGTACGTAAGTCAAGCTCCCATCATGCCAACCTCATACAGCACACCCGAGGCTTCCTTTGCCCTCTCGGATTTGTCTCTGCCTCTTTGGCCTTCCTATTTTTCTTTAAAATCATGGTAAAATATGCATAACATAAAATTCACCATTTTAAAGTGTACAATTCAGTGATATTTAGTGTATTCACAATATTGTACAACCATTACCACCAATTCCATAACCCTGTCACCACCACAAAAGGACACCTGTCCCCATTAAACAGTCACTCCCATTCCCATCTCCCCCAGTCCCTGGCAATCACCAGCCCTGCTTTCTGTATCTATGGATTTAGGTATTATGGATATTTCATATGAACAGAATGATAATATATATCCTTTTGTGACTGGCTTCTTTCACTATCATAACGTTTTCAAGGTTGTAGCATGTAGCAGACCTTCATGCCTTTTTATGGCTGAGTAATATTCCATTTTTTGGATATGCCACATTTTGTTTTTCCATTCATCAGTTGGTGGACATCTGGGTTGTTTCCATTTGGCCATTGTGAATGATGCTGCTGATAAATATTGATGTACACGCTTTTAATTCTTTGGGGTAGGAGTGGAATTGCTCTGTCACAGGGTGACTCTAGGTTTAACTTACTGAGGAACCTCCACACTGTTCTCCCCTCCCCACAGTTGATGGCACACACTCAGATGCTCAATCATCACCTGGCTCACTGCAGGTGCCTGGGCAGCTCATCCCAGGGATTAGCGCATGCCTTTGGAGCTGAATTTTTTATGGAGGGACAGTTTGGCTGCCAAAGATCCACAGACAAGTTGTTTGCTATGGACGTCCTGTGAAGGCCTTATCAGTACCTTTAGGGCTGAGGAGCTCGGGGTTTCTCTTCCACGAAGCGTGGAGGTCTCGCAGCGGATGCCCGCTGGGGTTGAAGCTGGGGGGCTGCAGTCTGTCGTCTAGGCTGCGCGTTGGCTCAAATACAGGTACAGGGTCTGCAGAGAGAGGAGGACAGGGGTGGTAGGGGGGTTCTGAAGGCTGGGGGATACCCCAGGCTGAAGCCATGGGACCTGGCGGGTCCTTCCATGTGGAGCTGGGGTAGGGGGACAATCCACAAGAGCTGCCTGGAGTCGCTCTGATGGTCTAGGGGAGCAAAGTGGATTTTCTGCTTTATGAGGAAGGTCTTTTCCAGGCACTGGCTCGGGGGAATACATGTTGTCCCCATAGATGTGGGTGTCCTGAACAGCTGGGAATGGTAATAACAAGAATTGCATTTTCCAAATTCTACGATGCCATCTATGGTGGCCATGAGACTGTGCCTTGCATGCTTCCAACCACAGGGAATGTCACTGAGCAAGAACCTTGCTCTGAAATCCATCAGTCCGAGGCCAACCTCTCCAGACAAGGCTTGAAAGCAGCGAAGATAGAGATGGACCTGCTTCCGGGGACATGGGACTACTCCGAGGGCACAGGACACTCCCAAGGCCTTGCCCAGCACTTCCTTAGGCTGTATGTGGTCTGGATGCTTCCACCCAGTTCTCCCAGCTCCCCCCTATTTTCCTTCACCTGCATTTCACTAATAGCAGCCTTGCACACAGAATCTTTGGGGTGCTTCTCAGTGGACTAATATACCATCATTTTTGACACAAAGGATGATTAAATAATGGCTTTTCTGGAAATGCACACCTGGATGTTAGAGGCCTCCTTAATTCCCAATAACTAAAAAGTGAGGAATCTGCAGGTGCATTTGCCTGGAATTCTGTTCCCTCTCCCACTGTCACCTAGCAAACACTTCCTTTCTTCAGATCTAGAATCCAGCACCTTTTCTTCCAGGTGGCTTTGCTCAGTTCCCCACCCAGGCAGGTACTAAGAACACCTGGATAATGCCAGGGGTTGGTGTGGCATCTTCCAGGTCACCAAGCCTGTCCATGGGAACAGGCTCCATGATGCTCCCAGTATCCCCTGGAGGCTGGCTAGGATCCACCTCATTTCCACAGATGAGAAAACGGAGACTCAGAGGAGTCAGGTAAGCCGCTAAGGAGTGGAGGTGAGATTTGAATTGGGTCTCTTTCTCTGATGCTTCCTGTTCCAGTGGTGTGGGCATTTCAACCCCAGCAGCCACAGGTGAGTGTTCATGGGGGCCCAGGAAAGCCAGGGCCTCCTCACTACAGATCAAGGGTCCTGGGTCTGGCCCACAGTCCTTTTAAAAGCACCGGAGCCCTCAGTCTTTCTCATCCTTCCACAGGGGTCTCCTGCCAGCATCTGCTTGGCCACTGTTCTCTGCTAGGGGACAGAAGGATTAAGAGTATGAACCCTGGAGACAGATCCCCGGGTTCTGGTCTAATCCATACTTGCTTCTCAGGATTGCTGTGTGACCTTGGCAAAAGACTATAACTCTCTGTGCCTCACCATAGAAGTACCCACTTCATGGGGCTGTGCAGAAGATCCATGCAAAGTGCGCAGCATGGCGCCTGGCACTTGCTCAGCTCAGAACAAATGGAAGCCCTGGCTTTTCCTGCCTTTCTGAGCTCCAGTCGCACTGCCCTTCTTCCTTCAGCCCCTCAAATGCACCTTCCCCACCTGAGCCTTTTATAGGCAGGAGCCTCTGCCAGGAACACCCTGCCCTCCCGTACCCCTTTCAGCTAGTTAATGCTGACTTGTCTTTGCACCTCAAATGTCACTTTTTCCAGAAAGCCTTTGTTGACCAACCAGTCCTCTGATATGAGCTCCTCCAGTTGCCTGCACCTTTCCTTCACAGCATTCATTGTACTTATAATTTTCAGTGATTTGCAAGTCCACCTAACTAATGCACACTAAACTGAAACTCCACCATAAGGCAGGCACAGGACCGCAACTATTTTTGCTCCTTTGCTGGACCCCTTGTGGATGGACAGACAGCTCGACCCAAATAAATATTTGCGGATGGAAGAAATGGGGTAGTGCCTATACCTGGGGCCTTCAGGTCTGGCTGGAACAAGGTCCCTTTCCTCCCGCCTGTTTGTTTAGGTGGTGGGAGGCTCGGACAATGGGTGTTTGTACCGAGGTAGGCAGGTGTGCGGGAAGGCCGCTGTCTTTCCTCTGTCAGCACTCCCTCCACACCCGTCATTAGGCAGGGCCTGCTCAGCGGGGTATGCCATTATGTCTCCCCGGGCTGATGTAATTATACATTGACATAATTAACCCAGCGAGCGCATTAGGCAGGCCAGCTAAAAATTCATCTATAATTATTTGTTGTGTGCATGCTAATGAGTTCATCTGCACTGCCTTTGTACAACACGGACAAATTAATTTACAAGTCTGGATTTTTTAATAAGTTCAAGAAAACGCTTCCTATTGTGTCCTGGTTTTTTGAGAAAGGGGGGAAAAGGCAACAGGCACTTGCCAGGGTCGGGGAAGTTAGATAAACACTGGAGGGTGCTGCTCCAAAAGGCCATGGAGGAGGGCTTACTCTGGTTCCAAGGAGGTGGAAAAGATCCAGCTGATGGCTTGAGTACCGGCTGCCACAAGCCCATCCAAGCCAAAAGCTTACACTCAGGTGATAAAATGTCACTGACCCCCTTCCGAGAGTCAGGGATTGATGTTTTGTTTCGCTTGGAGACCCTGCAGGTCCAGGGTGCTGCCTTGTGCGCTCTGTCCAGGGGAAGCTGAGCTCAGGTGGCCCCTGGAGAGGCTGGAGGAGGGGGTTGCTGAGATACTCATACAGGTTCAGCAGATTCCAGGGCTCTGTCTTTCCCCCTCATTCATTGTTAACAGGGTAGAACATGGTGGGTAAGCTCACAGAATCTGAAGTCCAATTTTGGGTCCAAATCCCTTAGGGCCTTGAGCCTCAGTTTCCCCACTTGTAAAGTGAGAAAAACGTAACAGTGCCTACTTCCCAGAAACTATTATTGGAAGATTAAAACAGATGAGAGAGGCAGTATGATTTAAGGACCTTTGGACAGTTAGAACCTTCACTTTCTCACCTGTAAAAGGGGGCAGCACATGTAAAGCGTGGCTGTGAAGACTGGGCGAGAGAACATGTATAGAGATTGCACAGTGCGAGGTGTAGCAGGGATTGCTAAGTGTTGACTGCTGAGAGGAGGCAGTGCTCCTGGTCTCGTGGTGCCCTGGGGGCTGGCTGTCTGCATTGTGACCTCTGTGAAACCCTGGGACAGGAATAGCCTCATATATCTCAGCAGTCCGTGGGAGATCCAGAATCCAACAGTTCTCCTTTGAATGTCACTTTGGGACCCAAAGACTCCAGCTTAGAAAGTCACACTGTGGAGGGACCTATCAGGTTAATTTGTGCAACACCCCTCACTCCAGTACACAGATGGGGGAGAGTGGGGTCCAGTGACTTCACAGAAGTCTGCCAGCACACTGGTAGCTGGGCCGAAATGTCCTTGGGCCTCTTCTTCCCATTATACTGCCTCCTGGCTCCCCAATTTGAGGAAGAGTTGGGGAGGGGTTCAGATGACTCAGCCAATGTCAGGCTATGATGAATCCTAACAGCCAAAGTATTTGAACATTTTAGAATTCATTCAATCTTCACTACAACACTGTGAGGTGGGTATTGTTGCATTCCTATTTTACAGATAGGGAAACTGAGGCACAGGGAGTGTGTGAAGGTAAAGCCTGGTACAGTAGATACTGCCATCTCCATTTCCCAGACAAGGAAATGAAGGCCCAGAGAAGAGGTGCCATGTGCCCAAGGTCACCTTGCTCAGAAGTGGCAGAGGTGGGATTTGAATCCAGGTAACTCTGCTGTGGGCCAAGCTGCCTTGAGTTAGGACATGGGAGATTTCTTACTATTGGGTCAGGAGCACAAGACTGAGGGCTCTATTCTTGGCCTTGCTGCTGGTTTGCTGTGTTACCTTAGACAAAGCACCAGACCTCTCTGGGCTCTGGACTCAAATTCCTATTTTAAGTATATCCTGGGCACACAATTAACATTGGATGTCATCAGACCAGGGTGGAGTCCTGCTGAAATGAGTGCTTTGGCCCTGGGCCTACTCCTCAGAGCTGAGATGCTCAGGGAGGGTGATTATTAAACGCCTTCAAGCTGAACTTCTGTTGTTTTAAACCACCCAGTTTGTGGTAATTTGGTATGGCAGCCCCAGAAAACCCATACACTGTGCTCTGGAAGCTAGATGTACAAAGTCAAGGTATGGGCAGAGCCATGCTCCCTCCCAGCTTCTGGTGTTGCTGGCATCCCTGGCTTGTAGCAGCATCCCTTCAATCTCTGCCTCCATTGTCACATGGCTTTCTCCTCTGTGCGTGCCTCTCTCTCCTTCTTATAAGGACACCAGTCATACTGGATTAGGGTTCACCCTAATGACCTCCTTTTAACTTGATTACAGTTGCAAAGACCCTATTTTCAAATAAGGAAACATTCACAGGTACCCAGGGGGACACAGTTCAACCCATAATATGTGGTAACTGATTGGGTACAAACTGTGAGAAAGGCCCACTCCTCTCCTGCTGCATCCATTTCACCTGGTGTTCAGGGAGACAATCTTGTTCTATACGAGAAAGCAGCAGGTTCTGGGCTCTGATCAACCTGCATTTTCATTCTCTCCAGCTACTGAGGAATTAGGCTGTGGGTTGAGTAGGGTCCCTGCTCTGAAAAGTACACAGCAACGATGATACTCATTTCCCTGGGCATTTTCTACTCGTTATTTCCTCCCCAGCACAGTGTGGAAGTCCCAGATGTGACAGGGTATGGGGTAAACTCACTTCTTCCTACTTCCCTATTTGGGAGAAGTTCACAGAGCCCAGAGCTACATTGTTGGGGGTTGGGTAAGGGAGGGAAAAAATTACTAGCATCCAGAAGACTGGAACGTTCTACCAAATTATATGTATGCAAAATGCTCGGCCACGGTGGCTGGCAAATCCAAGGGCTTCCCACTTACTCTGTCCAGTGGTATTGTTCGACACAGCTGAATGTGACTGGCTGCTCTTACAAACACAAAGAGAAATGACAAAAGATCTTTAAAATGTTTGGAAGCGGTTTCTC